TCGTTATTTGGGGTTGAAACCCATAGGCAGCTTTGGTCTCTTGCATCCTAAGTCTGTTAAATCAAGGTTTCATTGTAATACAAAAGTCTGACCTCTTTGGGCCATTTTGAATGGTTTGTTTTGTCAGAGTGTATAATCAGACCAACAAATAGTTGAGAAATATATGCATCAGGCCTGTACATTGCGGAAAAATGATTAGAAGGAGGTGGTTTGGAACAAGATTGTGTGGCAACATCTGTTTAAAGGAGCTGTTTCTTTGATGTGCCTTATGTTTATATGTACAGTTGTGTGATTTGTACTTTTGACCCCATGCATAAACTGGAATTCAGTGCATGTGTTCTGCACTGAATGTTGTGATATGCACACAGGTTAAGGAAATGTAAATACATTTTCATGCAGATTTTTATTTTGATTGAATTTGTACATTGATGAAGAAATGGGCTGAAATGAAGTCACTCTTGGAAATTTGGCATTTCTTTTAATACCAGAACTTTTGTTTATAAGGATCTAGATAAATTTGTGCCCTTTTACCTTTCTCTCTCTCCCCCCTCAAAAAAAAGTAAGCACTGTTTATGGAGAATTATGGACATCTGTTCATCACTTTTCTACCATGACTGTTGCCAGATTTCAGAATTGTTTCTGCCTAGCGGAGTAAGCAAAGACAGAGACTTGCTTTCCAAAAACATGCAACAAAATGATGGTGTGATCATCAATTCAATAGTCAGTTCAGTAATTTTTACAATTCAATTTGTTTCATATTCTTTGGAGAGTAAAGGAAATTTGTCTACCTTTCTTGTGCCCTTCAAGGCAAGGTTTATTCATTTATATGCTGCCTTTCGCAAAAACATAGAACATTAAAAAAAATTGAAGGACAATGTTTTAAAAGGCTAGAGAGTTGTGTCTTAATTCCATTCCTAAATGCTGAAGGAACAGAGGCTCTGAAAAAAGATTCTGCACTATAGCAGTGATTGCAGGAGTATACCCTTTCTTCCCTTCCCAACAACTGGGCCTCTATGTTTTCATATGTTTTTCAGGGATGCCTGAAGAGGGCTCTTGAACAGATTAATACATGGGCAGATTCATAGTGAGACAGATAGTCTCAGTCCAAACTATTTAAAATAAGCCAGGGGAACCTTGCAGCTACACTAAAACCTTGATTTTATCAACCTTCATTCAGCAGATTTTGAATAGAATGGACAAAATAAGAATCTGGATGCTTTGCCAAACAGTGGTCAAGTCCATTGTTTGGCAAATCAGTCTGGACAATGTTTGTACATGTTATATAATTTATGTAAGTATTCTATAAGTATGTAAACATTGTGTAAATTTTGAATAATTAGCGTGAATGCATAAATTTGGATTTAACAGACATTTGGCTTCAAGAGACATCCTCCCCCATACCAAATAGTGTGGAAAATTGAGGTTTTAGTGTACTCATTCCTATTACCTGTGCTGACTGGAACTGATGAAAGTTTCCATATTAATGTATTAAGATCATGATCTTGTGTACCATTTAGGCTAGTTGCTATATGTTCCACATATGGTATTTTTAAAATGCTTTTCAAGCTTCATATTAGGTAAAGCACATTCCTGTACTCTAAATATGATGTAACAAAAGATGGATTTCTGTTGTCAATTCAGGCTGACTTGGAAATAATCAAAGGTTATACATTCAATTTAGCATACCAACAGTCCACTACTGCCTAAAGATACACGAACAGCACAGAATCAAAGTGTAGTATTCACAGTCCATTTCTGTCAGACCAATTCCTTCCGCAACACCTTGAGTTTCCCAAGCTAGTCTTTATTCTGACCAATAGCACCCTGTCATTCAATCTCAGTTGGTTCACTTTCATTTAGCATAACTGTCTTGCTGTTCAGTAAAACATATTGGCAAAATGGTGATATGCGTAGCTGTATGGATAGAATTTGTTGTATTTACTGGATAAAATTGATATAATGACTATGCCTCCCCCTTTCTTGTTGCTTTTTTGTATGGTGTGGCTTGGGCTTTGCCACATATAATACTAGTGAAGCTGTTTTACTTGAGAGCTTTAATCTGCCTGATAGCCATACAGCTATGCAGCTGTGCAGCTTTGAAGATTTAAAAGCACCTTTCTCAAATACATGTTACTCCATCATGGGTTGGAAGTGACTGTTACTAACTTCTGTTTGCCAGTAATGCATTTATTAATGACCATAAACATTTCTAGATAGAAAGATAATAGTTACAGCCAAGAACTTCTACGATAAATATAATGTTATGCTACAAGGGTAGCTGTTTATCTTTTTTTTAGCTTATCTTTCTAGTTTCAGAGGTTTTATCTGTTACTTTATAGTAGAACATCTCTTATTTCTGCTCTTTCTCTTTTTTCCCCCAAGTATTTATGTCACATACTATGAACCAGTGTATTCCATAGGTATCTCTGCTTACCAAGTCCCAGTCTCTAGTCTATCCTCATGAAAAATGAGAATGTATCTAAAACTTCAAATCATGATGTGGGAAGTTACAAAGAAAATTGTATTTTCTCAGTGTGTTCATCAGCAGTTATCTTCTGATCTGGTCTTTTGCTGGTTTCTCAAGTAAATGCAACTTTCTTTGTTTCTCAAGGGATATTGTGTACCTCAGTAAACATGTATTTTGGCCTGTATAGCATTAATGTCAAGGATTTATGGATACAAAAAGAATTACAGAGTCTGTTGGGTAAATAAACCCTAATATTCACAATGGTCTCTTCTTCTTTGTGATTATATGTAAGTAAGATTATTCTGCTGTGCACAGTGATTTCCAAAAGGTGCTTGTTAATCATCATTCTGGCAGAAACACATTAATAATACATATGTCAATGGAAGACAGTTCTGTACCACAGCAACCCCCATCAACCGTGAGGAGATGCTACTATTTTTCCTCAGGGGATTTCCCCCTCTTTGGCAGTAAACTTTAAGACAAAGTACAATCAAGTAAAAGGTTGCAAATATTGATACCAATTATCCCAGATGGCTTGATAATAGTATTTTCTACCTGATGTGGCTGCAGAAAAGACAAATGCAATTTTGGATTGCATCAACTGAACTATATTTTCAAATAATCTGAAGTAATAGTTCCATTTTATTCTGCAACAATCAGACCCTGATCTTAAGTATTGCATCCAGTTTTGGATTCCACACTTGAAGATGATTCAGACAAACTAGAAGAGCTTCAGAGAAAAGCAACAAGGATGATCAAGGGAATAGAAACTAAATTCCATGAAGGAACTGGATGTGTTTGGCCTTGAAAGGGAAAGATTGAGGATATTTATAATAAGCACTCCTCAAATACTTGAAAGGGTATCACAAAGAAGGGGGTCAGGCCTTGTTCTCTATTACCTCAGATTACAGGACATGAAGTAATGGATTTAAATTACGGAAGGCTGTATCTTGTTGAATGCTATCAATGATTTCCTAACAATAAGAGCAATTGTACAGTAGAACCAATTATGCAAGAGGTGGTGGGCTTTCTTCACCAGATGTATACAAGCAGAAGTTGGACATCAACTGTCACAGAACCTTTAATGTGGTTTCTGGCACAGGACAAGGGGTTGGACTTGATGGGCTGAAGGATTTGAATTTAATGATTCTCTGCAAATGTTGTTATATGGAGAGCATTATGTAATATCTGGCACCTGAAAGCAATCTATATAATATTTATGCTTGATCTAAACATGTATTTTATAATTACTACCAGTTTAGTCATACAGTCATTAATGCAACTTTTTCAATCTCTGTTTCCAGTTCTGTACTATTATAATTTCCGTAATCTCCTAGCCAGCTGAAGAGGATATAATTTGTTGTCCAAAAAGTTTGGGGAAGGCTCCAGTAGTGTCTAAAACTAAAAATCATTGTCTTAGACTTGCTCATGCAAGTTGTTATGAATGGCTTGAGCAGTGCTAGGCACATAAAGTCATAAGATAATAGTTTTACTCCTGAGTGCCTATTTTATAAGCCATTGCTGTGGAAGCAGTACATGTGTACTACTATTAACTAGACTGATTTGTATGATTGAAAGATTGTATTAGTCACATTTATATTGGAACTATTATTTTGAAATGCGGTTTAAAATAACATCAAGAGCAGTGATCACGGTTGTTGTTTTTTTCTTCAATCCCACTATCCCCCTAAAAAGTTCAGTGTAGCATTCTTGATCCATCCTATGTTGTATCCTCCTGGGTGGTTTAGGCTGGGAGAAAGTGATTTCATAGCTGAGTGAAGTTTTAAACCTGCATTTCCCTGGTTGATGTACAATACTCTCTCCATTATGATATAGTGGTCATAATCATTAAGTCTGAACTTGATCAGCCATAGTATTTGGTAGTGTGGTTTACTGATAGTTACTGATCTCAGTGTATGTTCTCCTGACAGCCAGTATTTTCTGGTTTGGGTGGCAAGTTAACACTGGCTTTGAAGGAGATTGTTTTTAGCGTGCATTTGGGAGGGATGTGTAATATGTAATCTGCCACTATTTTATTTCCATTTTAGGTTTTTCTCTCTCTTTTTTGGGTGCCTTCAAGTCAGTGTTGATTCCTGGCAACTGCCTGGACAAGTTCCTGCAGTTTTCTTGACAAGATTTTGGAAGTGGTTTGCCATTGCCTCCTTTCTAGGGCTGAGAGAGAGTGACTGGCCCAAGGTCACCCAGCTGGCCTCATGCCTAAAGGCAGGACTATAACTCATGGTCTCCCGGTTTCTAGCCTGGTACCTTAACCACTACACCAAATTGGCTCTCATGTCTCTTTTAGTAATTTGATTACTGTAGTTGTATTTTTTGCTACTTTTGTTAGCTGGTTTGGATACTATTGATGCAACATAGGGTAGAAGTGCTTTAAATGACTGCTGTGATTAATAGAAGCTAATTTCCAGCTTCTGTTCAAATAAAGAAGTAGAAGTTGTATTTCCTTGATGGCATTAAAATGAAGAATTTTATTTTTGTGGTGTGACCCCAGCTTCTTTTTCTTTTTCTTTTGAAGTTCCAGATGCTGCTAGGTGTTCAATGATCGTACTTGTCGGTTCAACAACAGCAAGGCTTCAGCTCAGATTGCTCCCAAGATCGAGGACTCCTCTGCTCTCCTTTCTGTTGTTTGGTGTTTTCCAGAGGTACAGCTCCACTAAAACCGGGAAACTGGCTTCTCACGGCTTTGCTTCCATGGCAGCAATGTCATCCTTTCCCCCACAGAGGTATCATTACTTCCTAGTGCTGGATTTTGAGGCCACGTGTGACAAGCCCCAGATCCACCCTCAGGTAATTATTTGGCTTTAGGTTGTCTCTCTTTTCAAAAATTTGTTTAAAAGACAATAAAGGGAGAGGTTGGATAGAAAGACTTTTACATTCTGTATTTTATTATCTCACATTTCTTTCCATTTTATAGATAGATATGATTGTTCTCATTTTATAGATGGATATGGTATTTGAGAGACTAAGATGATTCTAGAGAAAGTGATGTTGTCTCTTATTTCTTACAGCTCCCCCTTCTGTTTTCTCCTGCAAATTGATGATCCACTTCTTTTCCATTTATGTGAGGAGTCCCCAGGGCAACCTGAAGCATTTCTGCTTTTGGGCCTTCCATGCTGTAATGTTCTGATAATGTATTTGGTGCCCTTTGCATTTTCTATCTATTTTTCAGTGGAAATAACTAAAACCCTTAGTTTGCAAGTGAAATAATATTTGGTGTGACTATGCATCCTTATTTGCCGGATTCTGTAAAACAGCTAGGAAAACAACACCCTAGGTATTAAATTCCATTGTTTCCATTAGTTTCACAGAGATGTTAAATTACAAGCTTAAATATGTTTATATTGCTTTAAAAATAAGTTCCAGATGTTAAAGCTTGTAGGATAAACTTAGATTGCAGTACTGCTTCTGCCAAGCTTCTCACTGAAACTGGCAGTGCATGTCTTTTTCAAAAAATCTAGAAACTACATAGTTTGATTCACTTTTGTCTACTGCAAAGCCTTAATATTCTGCAGCTAAAAATAATGATTCTTCATATAAAACATAACATTGTTTACATTTAGCTGATTTCCCTAATCCGCTCTCATTAAAAATATTTTATTTACCGAACTCGAGAAAGGAATTTTGGCAAAAGTATAGGAAGGTAGAAGGAGAAGGAATATTTCCTACTACATTTGGAGGCAGTATAAGGGCCTAAAGAAATATGACAACCCTTTTTCTATTGATTACTATAAAAGAGGACTTTTCTGGTTTTATTTGCTAAATGTGAATAGTGCATATGCATCTTCTAGCTTTTTCACAGCAAAGCAAAGACAGCCATCAACAGGCACATAAACAATATCTACACACCATTCAAAAGAGACAATAAAAAGGAAAACAAAAGACCAGAACATCTCCTCACCAG